GGAATATCCACCTATACTAGCACATTAATGTGAGTTTGTCCTTGACATTTAATTAATTGGAACTGCATGTAATCTATATTTTGTTTATTTCCTTGAAGGGATTTGTATGCAGGCACTGCCATACGTTATTGCACTATCAGTAAGTATGTTTTTGCACAAAATGTATGGCAAGTTTTCAATGTAAAAATATCGTATGTAGTTTATTAATAAATATATGGCGGAACTCTGAGTAGGCATAGAAAAAATATGCCCTTGTTTGCGGCTGTTGCGCTGAAACTAGCTAGCTTTGTTCCTGAGAAAATAAGTTTATCGTTATGTTATAATCACTGTATCGGGTTAGTAAATTACACTTTCTTCACTACTTCCGGGCCTAGGGTACTACAGTATTTTGTAATAATTTGATAATAAAGTAGTTTAAACCAGTCAAGACATTCTGTGATGAAAATGTCAAAGCAAAGTGCAATATCAATCGACGCATTGTGTAATACTTTACAAGTAGTCTGCGTCTTTCAAATAGTTACGCATTATACTCCATACAAAACTAACATCTACGCAACACTAACATGTTTGTGGGTCCAAAGAGTATTTATATTTAAACTTACATTCATAGGTGTATTACAAATCCGAGATATAGTATATCATACATAAATCATACGATTTTGCATGCAAATTCAAATACGCGTTTTCAAGGATTATTAGTTATATATAGTGTTTTTTTTCTACAGATGTTCGGTGTGTACTCTCGACTCAACGCAGCGCCACTAACACCAGACATAGTTTTCACAGCTCTTGCATTGATCAATTTACTAATTCAACCATTCGGGTTAATGCTAACGTTTGGGAAAAACATGGTTCAAATGTTGGCTGCTTGCAAGAGGCTTGAAGATTTCATGTCGGCGGAGGAAATGGGTAGATATGCTGATCAAACCTATATAGTGGACGACAGTATGTATAGCAGTACCGTTCATGACATAACTGAGGTACGAATTTCACTTCAGGTGCCGCCTTTTGTATGACTAGTAAAATATACGCACTATTTTCCAAATATCAGATAGTTGCATAATTGCTCTTTTTGTTCAATATGTTAAATGATCGTTTGTTTTAATAGGAATATGAAATGAATGCATTTGATACAAAGCTCACCACTCCATTAGTGCGAAGCGTGTCGCAACACAATTATCGGGCAACACATCAAATTAATTCACTATTATTCACCGGTACTGCTGAACAGATAGAAACCAGTGACGTCGCAGTTGAAGTTCGTGGTATTCTTTATATATATATATATAGTTATTTTTATCAATAGTTATTTTTCAGAATCCAATTAACGTAAAAAAAATTATTAATATATGTTTTTGATAAAATAAGTCCTTCTCTTGAAACTGAAGATACAAATAACCCATATTTGTAAATGTTTGTGTTTAGATAGTTAATGGATATTTCTCTTGGGAAAGAAGTACTCATGAAGCTGTTTTGAATAATATTAATGTTAAAATTGAAAAAGGTAATATATAATATATTGTTATATATATATAAATAATAACTCTCATAAGTTAAATACGTTTTACAAAAAAGTGTGAATGTTTACTTTAAACTTTAAATAAAACAAAAGTGTATAAAAAGTACAAAGTATTGTTCTTAGGCTAACGAAATATCGATTTGATGTTATTTCTACTATTTAACATTTAGTTATTACCCGTGAATGAAAAAATTACAAGGGGGCAAATTATACACAACATACAACTGAATGGCTCAACAATCCTCCATGGCCGAATCAGTCTGATATAGAGATGTGTACACAATAGTATGCATTAATGAAACGTAGCTTTGTTAAATAGAATACTTCGTCTTTACATCCATGCAGATTTCTATTCTATTATCAAGCATTGCAAATGATATAGAGAAACGCGTTCGATATTGCTCAATTGTGTTGCCTTTTAACAGACATGTGTGTTATGTATTGGTGCCCGGTACAAGTGTCTTACTGTTCTAGCACTTCACGTAAACTGTCTATTGTACATTCTGGAATACCCAAAGGATTCATTTGATACTTGAGTGCACAATGTCACATGGCTACTATAATATATTGTTTATCTGCATTGAGTGAATTATGAACAAAAATGTCCTGAGTGTTATTTTGTGTGTATTCTAATCTAGGAACATTGACAATTGTAGTTGGCAAAATTGGTACTGGTAAATCATCTCTAATGGCTGCAATTCTGGGAGAAATGGATACAATATCAGGAAGTGTTACGTTTAATGGGTATGTGCGTTTAAATAGTGGACAACAATTGTAATCATTATGCTCATAAATTTAATTATATGTCAATATTTTAATATGCAGATGTGCTTGACCACCTGCTTCAATCTTGGTAAACTTCCCTGTTCTCCAATATTGCAACGTGCTTCATGGCACATCCGTGGCTTTATCATTATATTTCTATACCAGAGATTCATTATGACCATTTTTATTTCATTCAATTTATATACACAATATAGTAATTGCTAGCAATTGCAAAGTAATCACATAACAATCCTATAACTTATTCACTTGTAATAACTAAATGGTAGTAATAACAATAACCATTTAACTAGCCTTGAGTGTATGCAAATGCAATTGTCCTAAGACTTTCTGCATAAACGTGTTAGTCTTATATGTGTATATATGACACATGACATGCACGCAGCATAACACGATTGGCGATCTGTCCGCTAGGATTGCCCTTAAAAAATCACTTTTGTGTGTGTGATTTTGAGTCTCCTCACGTATAATTATTCTGTGATTTTTTTAGCTGGGCTGATTTCGCTCGAACTTGGCAGGCAGGTCACACCTTCACTCTAGTTGGGTGGTAAAATTTTAAAACAAACCCTGGTCCACTGTTGCCATGACAACAACCTAAAATATTATTTATATAAT